TCCCCGGACCCCCCCAGCCCTGTGCCACCGGAGCCAGGGAGCCCAGGGGGAGCGGGTCCTGCTTGGCCACAGGGATCCAGGGATGAGATGAGCCAAGGGAAGGAGCATCCTCCATCCGGAGCCACGATGGAGACCCACGACACCAGCGCTGACACCCCAGGAACAGCACCCACCCCCAGCCTGCGGTACCCAGCCCGGCTGGTCAGCGAGGCGCTGGAGGACGCCCTCAAGGAGATGAAGGATGATGCTCAGCCCAAAGAAGAGCCCATGCTCAGCGCTGCGCGGGCTCCCCGGGACGCCCAAACCCCCAGCCCCAATTCCCGCATCGAGGCTGGCAGAGGAGCTGGGGAAGGGCAGGACCCCTCCGAGGATGCTGGGGATGGTGGAGCCCCCAAAGAGGAGGAGAGGGATGAGGAATCCATTCTCCAGGGTGCTCCATGTGATGAATCCATGTCCCCATTGGGATCATATCCCTGCGGCACCGCAGCTGCTTCCCAAAGCACTGTGGAGAGCCGGGAAGAGATAGAAGCGTGGGAGGAGGAGATGACCACTATGCTGAGCCCAAGGGAACCAGAAGTGGTGGCCCAGGAAGAGGACACGAGTGGCCCTGAGCAGATGGGGACCAGCCAGGAAGAGCCAGAGCATGAGGATGATGAGGTGGAAGCCCCAAGCATGGAGGCATCACAGCCCTCAGAGGAGGAGGAAGAGGAAGAGGAGAGGGGACCCCTCAGCCCCTGTGAGGAGGATGGTGATTTCCAGGGTGAAGGGATGGATGCACAAGAAGGGGAGTCCCCACAAAAAGAAATCAAAGCTGCTCATGTTGTCCCCATGGAAAGCCACCCAGTTTTGCCCATGGAACATCACCTGGAAGAGGACCTTGTTGATGAAAAGCAGGAAAAGTTTGAGCATCAGGAAATGCCCATGTGTGAGATGGATCTGGCTGCAGAGGAGGAAAAGGAACAGCAGCAGGAGATGTGTCCAGAGCAGGAGCCCTGGGGCATCCATGAGGCCATCCCAGCAGAAGAACCTTCATCAGTAGCTGAAGAAGATGCCGTGGGAGGAGAGGACCCAGGCAGAGTGAAAGACGGTGAGGGAGAAAAGGGAGAGGCTGGTGGGGAGGTGCTGGGAAGAGAAGACCCTGAGGCAGGAGAGGCTGTGGGACCTGAAGACCCGGAGCAGGAGAGCGGAGCCCAGGAGGAGCCCAGGGACCTGCAGGAAAAGGATTTTGTGGAAGAGGTGCTGGAGCAGGAGCTGGGAGAGGAGCCCTGGGACAGGGGGGATGATGACAACAACCAAAAGCCCCATCCAGAAGACTGGGAGGTGACAGCAGAGGACACAGAGGGGCCTCTGAGGACAGAAGAGTCAGCTTGGGCAGATGACACCCCAACAAGCACAGGAGGGCTGGAAAGTGAAGAGAGAGATGACACATCACCCGCAGAGCTGGAAGAAACCCAGGATGATGATGAAGAAGATGCCGAGAGCCAGAAGATGAGCCAGCAGCAGCCACCACCAGAGGCTGAGCCAGCCCTGGAGCTGGTGAGGGACAAGCAGGAAGACACGGTGGGACAACCTGCCCAGGCACCCACAGATGCGGCCCCCCACAGATGCCCCGGGGCAAGGGAACAGCCAGGAGCCAGCTGAGGCTCCCGAGGAGCCATGGGAGGTGCAGGATGAAGCTGATGAGGAGCTCAGCTTGGACCCGGCACAGCCAGAGATCAGCAGCACTGGCCCTGCGGCAGGTGACGGCACGGAGAGTGGTGAGTCGGTGGAGGAGGATGCTGAGGCATCAGGAGAGCTGGAGCAGGGAGCAGGGACGGGCAGGAGGCTGGAGCTGGAGGACACGCTGCCGGACAGCACGCCCTTGCACCTCTACGAAGGGGAGATGCTGGCTGTGGTCACACCCAACCAAAACCCTCCGGAGATGGAGGAGACCACAGAGACAGCCCCTAAATCCAAAATAGCTCCAGAGGATGAAGGATGGCTGGAAGGGAGGGGCAAGCCACCAACTCCTGCCATGCCAGAGAGCCATGAAGAGGAGACAGGGATGGAGGAAACCCCTGCAGCAGAGGGTGCTGAGGAGGAGGAAGGCTATTTCATGGTCTCTGCTCCCAGCCAAGAGGTGCCCAGCTCCGAGGAAGCCGAGATCTCCGAGGACTTTGAAGAAATTAAAGTTGAAGCAACGGAAGCCAGCAAAGATGGTCTGGAAGCTGCTGGAGAAGCATCTCCAGTGCTGGAGGATGAAGGAAACTTTGAGGCGTTTGTTGACGAAGCAGATGAAGACATGAAGGCTATTTCATGGTCTCTGCTCCCAGCCAAGAGGTGCCCAGCTCCGAGGAAGCCGAGATCTCCGAGGACTTTGAAGAAATTAAAGTTGAAGCAACGGAAGCCAGCAAAGATGGTCTGGAAGCTGCTGGAGAAGCATCTCCAGTGCTGGAGGATGAAGGAAACTTTGAGGCGTTTGTTGACGAAGCAGATGAAGACATGAAGATGCCAACAGAAGAACCTGAGATGCCAACAGAAGAACCTGAGATGCCAACAGAAGAACCTGAGATGCCAAAGGATGCGGATGAGGATGATGCTGGAGGTTTTACTGCTGAGATGGAGGAAGGCCCAGCTGTGCCTGAAGCAGATCCTGGCTGCCCCGAGGCTGCGAGGCCGTTAGCAGAAGGCCCTGATGAACCAACCCTGGGTGCCACCAGCACAGGCGTGTGTGAGGAACCAGGACACTCGGAGGGTTTGGCTGCTGAATCAGATGAGGAGCTTGATGGCACAGTCGAGCTGGAGAGTGATGCCAAAACGCTCCCAGGCTGCGACCTGGGGCTGGTAGGGCAAGAGGAGGAGGAGGATGAGGAGCAGGAGGAGGAGGGGGAGGATGAGCC